ATTATCATATTATTTCACTCATGTAGAATTTAAGAAACAAAACAGATGAACATAGGGCAAGGGAAGGAAAAATAAAATAAGATGAAAATTGAGAGGAAGGCAAACCACAAGAGATGCTGAACTCTAGGAAACAAACTGAGGGTTGCTGGAGGGGAGGTGGGGTTGGGAAAGGATAATTGGATGATGGGCATTAAGGAGGGCACTTGATGCAATGATCACTGGGTGTTATATGTAACTGATGAATCACTAAATTCTAGCTCTGAAACTAAAAAACAAAAAACAAAACAAAAAAATGAGTTAGCTACCTAAAGTTTGAATTTCAAAGAGATGGACTGGATAGGAGTTCCTAGAGAAGAGTGGGTAATATGTTTATATTTCAAAAGCACAGGGGAAGAGTGCAAGTTCCTCCAAGAAGGACTTCCATTCCCTAAATCCAGAATTTGACAATACCACAAGCCTTTTGAAATGAATACAAGTGGTTTTGGAATTGGCAAAAAGGATAAGTGGGCTTTGAATTGCTTGTAGAGCTGCATTTCTGTTCTTATAAAGAGTCAACTCATAAGACAAAACAGCTGTTTTTAATTCCTCAAAGAATTAGGTTGCAGCCTGAGTGATGTTGAAGGGCAATCCTTTAAAAAAACCCATATTTCTGACTAGCCATATTTTGGGGGTCTCCAACCTGACTGTTGCCACATCAAGTTCTCAGGACACAAAACAAGACAAATAAGAAGGCAGTAGGTGTTCCTGGGAGAGAAAGAATTGACAATGGGTACCCACAAACCAAATTCATGAGTCTGAATTTAGAAAGGAAAAGACAATGGGAAATTTTATTTTCCTCTCCCGACCAGGCACTGCAGAGATGTGGGAGAGCTGACTCTGATAAGAACTCTCACTCTTATGATGGACTCTGAAAAATAAACTGAGGGTTCTAGAGGGGAGGGGGGTAGGAGGATGGGTTGGCCTGGTGATGGGTATTAAAGAGGGCACATTCTGCATGGAGCACTGGGTGTTATACACAAACAATGAATCATGGAACACTACATCAAAAACTAATAATGTAATGTATGGTGATTAACATAACATAATAATAATTTTTAAAAAATTAAAAAAAAAAAGAACTCTCACTCTTGCCAGTTTTTGCCAGTTTCCCCAAGATCCCATCTGCAGGTTCTAGAATGAGAGGGGTTTGAAGTAAAGTGTAGCTCCATTATCTATCAGAATTTGGAAAGGTTTTCCACAAATTTAATTTTAGTTTCCCCTTGGCTGTTTAAGAGAATAACAGGTAGTAATTTGCTGGAGAATTCCTGAGTCCTGTCAACCCTCAGAGGGGCTTATATGGAGGCCCTTGTCTGAGGGTAGATATGGAGGTGTCTGTAAGGCTACTAACTTGGCTGACTTGTGTTTATGGCCTTGTAGTCTTTTCAGAGTGGAAAGACAATTCAGATAGAAGACTAGTAGACTGTGAGTACTCAAGTTAAAAAGGATAGAGGGAAATAGTGGGAGTCATGTTGGTCTCAGTCTTTTGTTTTAGGTACCTCTCATGTCTTTCACTTTTCATTAGCCTTTTGCAGTAAATCTTTCAATGAAGTTATTCCAAGTTTTGGAACCTTGAAGACTTTTGGAAGCTTCTTCATACCAATTAAAATAGGTAGCCCATTATGTTTGTTTGAATTGGAAACCTTACTTTCAAGTGCACTTCTTAAATGAATGATCTTGTCAAACTAGAATGTTTCCCGTAATAGCCATTGTAATTCTAGCTTGTCTTAATAAGATTTTGCCATTTTTATAGATGTCTACAGCTTCCAGGACCATGGTTCTTAGACATCAACTAAGCAGGTATGCTGGAAGGTGACATGCTTGATCCTTTGAAAATTGAGGATCCCATTTCTTTAGTTAAGCCTTATGTCTCACAGAGTCAGATTAGTAACTAAGAGAGATGTGCCACAGGGTTGAGGATTGTGCAGTGTTTTACAGTGTACATCACTGCTTGGGAATTTTCTTGGGTTGCCAGGGAACCTAGTGTCAATCTAACCTGTTCCATGACCAACATATCCTAGCATGGGTATCTTAGATTTGGGTGGTAAGTGCTCTAACAGCTTTAAGTCTTTGACCCATGCCTACTAATTTTGTGGTTTTGGCTTCCAAGATTCTCATTAGCAATAGATCTATTATCCCTTTCACAAGAATATACACCTCTCCGCTACAAGAATATTTCTTTATAATGGCAGACACTCAAAAGGATTTTTTTTTTTTTTAAGATTTTATTTTTAGGTTCATCTAAAACTAATGATGTAATGTATGGGGATTAACATAAGAATTTAAAAAAAAGAATTAAAAAAAAAAGATTTTATTTTTAGGTAATCTCTACACCCAACATGGGGCTCAAACTTACAACCCCAAGATCAAGAGTTGCATGCTCTACCGACTGAAGCAGCCAGGTGCCCCTTGAATGGACTTGAATAGTCTGACTTGTGCCTATTTAGATTTTGATGTGCTGTTGGTCAAAAAAGTCCAAATATCTTGTCTTCATTTATTTCCCCATGTCCTCCAGTTGTTTATGCTGTGGACTTGCCTTGAGGCTTTGTGAGTCCCCTCATGGCTGCCATCATGCTTTCTTTTGGTTGAGGAGGACCCATTATTTTCCCTTGTTGAAAAAATCCTCCCTAATTCAACAAGACTTACTGTTTTAGGCTGCCTTGAGCACAGTCCCAGAAACCTATCAGTACCTCCAAAAGACACTTACCTTGAAGATGAGATGGGCTCCAAACCCAAATGTTGTAGCCTACTAGGTCTCACTGTGAAAAATCCAGTCTCTCATGCCCCAATTTTTCACCTGGAAGGATTAGAACAAACAAACTCAAAGAGCTCAGCATATGATACAGGCAGAGCTCAATCCAAAAGAAGTTCACCAGAGATCCAGAAAGCAACCAAAGAGGTAGCAAACCAAAATAGCTCTGTGAGGACCTTCACATGCATTTAGGCACCAACCCCAGAATCTTCAGCAATGGTCTTGGGATCCCATCCTCATTGCCAAATGACAAAACTAAAACAATTTAATAACAAGTTTGATGTCCTTTATTTAAGGGAAAACATTCCATGGATTGGCAGAGCACAGTGCCTCACAAATAGTGGAGAACTCTTCCTGAGGGATTTGATGGAAAAATGAGTTTTATAGAGTAATGGAAGAGGCAACTAGAAAATAGCTTGATTGGCTAGAAGGTTGGGGATTTCCCTATGAGGTCAGCAGGTCCTATTTTTTAGGATAAGGTAAGCTAGCTAAAGCTGAGTTGGAAGATTGTGATGGTGTATGTGAGGTTTCCTTGACAGGTGTTTCCTGTAAGTGCAAGCTGACTTAGGTTTAGATTTTGTGACATGGGCCAGGCCACTGGCAGTGGGGCTTCCACTTGATATACAAGTTAACTTTACCAGTTTCTAACGATATTTTTGAAGTATTGATGTCAGATCATTGGAGTCTTGTCACTGGTCAAGAAATTCACCTAAAAATCAGATAAGGGCTGGAAGTAGATTGGGGTAGGGGCATTGAATGAGGCCAGTAATAAAAACCTGTGGCTGATGGGCTGAGGATTTCTGAAGATTATGGGTATGAGAAGAGATTTTACAGTGTTATTTCCTTGAGTCTTACAGCTTGTTTCCTGTGAGGGCATTTGGGAAAGAGGCCCCAGGAAGGGGCCCCAAGAAGAGCATTTTATGTTCTGGGGATGTTGAGGGTGAACAAACGGTGATGAGGATGATGACAGAAAGCAGGAAAAGGAAACAAGCCTTCATTGGATACGCATGATGCACCAGGCACTTTGCTAGTACTCGAATTTTCTTTTCTTTTCCAAAAACCTTGAGTGCAGTGATTCTCAACCAGGGGCAATTTTGCCTTTGAGAGAGCATTTGTCGATGTCTAGACATTTTTATTTTCACGAGTAGGGGTGCCACTGGCATCTAGGGTGGGACCAGAGATGCTCCTAATCATTCTACAATGTACAGGATAGTTCTTCACAATGAGAACTATTTGGCCCAAAATGTCAAAAATACTGAGGCTGAGAAATCCTGCTTGAAGGGTAGGCATGATTACCTTCATTTTTATAGACAAGCAATCTGAGCTGGTGTTCAAAACTAGACTTATATAGCTCCAAGGCCCAAGCTCCTTCGCCATGGTGATAGGAACAGTGACGGAACTGAAGATGGTAAAGATAAAGAACCAGGGCACAGGTTGGTGTTCTGTTGAAGGAACAAACAAAAGAATGAAGGCCAGGGGTGCCTGGGTGGCTCAGTCAGTTGGGCAACCAACTCTTGATTTTGGCTCAGGTCATGATCTCAGGGTTGTGAGATGAAGTCCCATGCCTGGCTTTGCGTTCGGTGCGGAGTCTTCTTGTATCCCTCTCCTCTGCCTTTCCCCTTCCCCCTGCAAGTGCACATACATGAGTGTGTGCTCTCTCTCAAATAAATAAATAAATAAATCTTAAAAAAAAAAAAAGAATGAATGCCAGAGGGGAATAAGAGAATGAGTGTAACCACCCTAGTGCCACCCTGACACACATCCTTGTTCTTGCTCCACAATCTAGGAGTAAGTCAGAGATCATGATAACAAAGGAAATCGAATGATGGTGGGTGACCTCAAGACCACCATCATCAGTTTCAGGAGCATCTGGGCCTCCAAATGGAGCTAGAAGTCAGAGAAGACTGGCTGTACATTCTGCTCCGTTGCCTTTTCTAAAGAGAGAGGAACAGATAGGAGGTTCTGAGCTGGATTTGGGTGACCATTCCCCTCTTACTCCCAGAGGTTGAGCCTAGCTGTGTCCCAAAAGAAGAGGAAGACGTTGTTTCCCAGTTTCTAAAATTTCTGTGAATTTGGAATTGGGCTAAGCCAGACCCATTCTGGGAAGCTCTGAATCTTCTGGGAGGGAACAGTTGAGAGGAAAAAGGGTGAAGGGGAGGAGCCTATGATAAAACAACATTTCTTTTCACTTCCTCTTTTGGACTTCAGAATTTGTCTGTCCTCTCGGGTGGAATCTGTCAAGTCTCAAGAGAAGTCTCTGCCTGCCACACTGGTGCTGCTGGAGCCAACGTGAGCCAGCAAGTGATGCGGATCCCCTCGTTCCTCCCCATCCCTGCTGCTGGTAGTGACTGGGCTGATTGCGTGCCCTGCCATCCTTTGGGTGACATGCTGCTGTGGACAGCTCTGCTATTCTTGGGTGAGTCGGTGTCCTCATGAAGGACAGAGGCAGGTACACTTTCCTAACTCAGCTGCTGCTTCCCCGGGTCAGGCTGAGCTTTGGTAAGGATGAGGGGTAGCATGGGAAGCATTCAAGAAAATGAGGAGGGTGAAGCAGGCTGATGAAGATCAAACTCTGACGATCTTACTGGTCTTGGCAAATGATAAAATTGGCAGAGTTTTTGTTTTAATTTTTAGTGTCTTTTGCCCAATATCACAGGGCAGCCAGGTCCCTGATGTTCTGCCACCACCTACATCTGAACCTGCTCTAAGGAAAGTCTAGTGACTTAGTGGCCAGGGTGTTTTTCTTCCTTAAAAATTTGTGTTTCACAGGGACCAAATCTTAGGTGGAAGGGCTAATGCTGTCTTAGATTAGGGGTGGGGAAGAAGCAATAGGATACTTGGTGGAGGGGCAGTAGACATTCTCTGTCAGGCAGCAGAAGCTTATTCTGTTTATGTGTTAGATTTCCCTGGGAAGAAGCAAAGAGGGTCTGGGTTATCCAGGGAACAGGGTTTCAGAGAACACACAACCTGGGCAATTCTGGAATCGTCAACTGTAGGACCGGAGAAATCACCCATGCTTCCTTGTACACACACATGGGGATAGGTCCTGGTTGTGATCAGGGAGAAAATCAGGGTCCTAGGCTAAGATGGAGGGGCAGGGACTGATGGTGCCAGGTGGGAGGAAGTCTAGGGAGGCCAGCTAGGGGAGCCCTATTGGTAAGATTGTCTCTCCAAGCTCAATTCCTAGAGTTTCCACCCTCAAAAAAACCTTAGGATAGCCCCAGAGGAAGACATGTAGCCACTCTGGAGTTAGGTGTTATGACTGATAATAAAATCTGGTCATCTCTGGGAGTCCTAGGCCCTCAATGTTGAATGATACCGGGATAGGAAGCAGAGGTGAGGAAGAGAGAGTATTCCTTCATGAGCAGGATAAAATGGACTGAAGTAGAATAACATGTGAAAGGAGCATTAGACGATCTCATTTTTCACGTGAGGAAGCTCAGGCCTGGAGAGATGAGATGCTTCTCCATCTCTGCTGTTGGTGCTGCCAATGTACCAGTCACCCGGGCAAGACTTCTGGGCAAGACTTGATCTTTTCTTCCATTTGTCCTTTTGCTAAGTCACCAAGGATTTGCTCCATTTTCCCCATTCTTATTTGGACCACCATATTTAGGTCTTCATCCCTCAATAACCCAGCTTTGACAACAGCCTCTGACCCCATCTCGACTGCTCCTGTCTCCTCTCCTCTGAATCTGTGCTGCACACCGAGGCCATAATATCTTCAAGTGCAGCTGAGTCACTGCACTTCAGAAATGCCTCCAGGACTGCTCCATTACCTACTAACTAAGGCCCCCATTCCACCCTCTTCACCACATTCCCATTGCCCCCAAGTGGATCTTCCTCTACAGCCAGGCAATGTGGACACTGCATTTCCTGCTTTCTACAGATTCCACAAACTGCCTTGTTTAAACATTAAATAAATGCATGAACAGGCCCTGTTCTAGGACTTGGAGATTTACCAATGAACAAGACAGACAGCCTTCCTGACCTAAAGCATAAGGTCTTTGTCTCCCTTACAATGACTCTATTGAGTGTGTATTCATGACCATTTGTTGAGTGTGGAATGAATAAATGGCTAATGACTTCTCTCCATTCTTCTCATTTCTTTCTTATTTCTCCTCTTCCCCTCCTCTTAGGTTCTACTTCTTTATTTGCTCCCCTACTGCACTGTCCCTCTTGCCAATCCAACACTCTGGTTTTTAGCTATCACTTCTATGTCAACAGCTTCCAAACCTGTCTTTCTTGCTTATGTCAGCTACAATTTCGTGTTTCCACCTGCTGGTTGGACACCTCCACATTGATAATGCCAGTTCAGAAACAAAACATATTCAAACTCAACTTATCATCTTTCCATTGCAAATGTACTCCTCTTCCTAACATTTATATTTGTGTGAGCACAAGTAACATTTTCCCTAGCCATCCACTTACTTTATTCCCACTCTCATCAAGTGCCAGCTTCCCCCAGTTTTGTCTCTTAAATTTCTCTCATGTGGGGGCGCCAGGATGGCTCAGTCGGTTAAGCTCAGGTCATGATCCTGGAGTCCTGGGATCAAGTCAGGCTCCCTGCTCAGTGAGGAGTCTGCTTCTCCCTCTCCCTCTGCCCCCCACCCAGCTCGAGTTCTCTCTCTCTCTCTCTCTCACTCTTTCTCTCTCAAACAAATAAATAAAATCTTTAAAAAAATTTCTCTCGTGTGCATATCTTCTTCACTTCCTATTATCAATACAACTGTGGCCCCTCTTATCTCGCACCTAGACTCATTCAATAAGTGATTTCCAGAGCACTGGCAAATAAAATTGTTATGGCTACTGCCCTCTTAGATCTTCTGGGAGATCTAAACAACAAATAAACAGACACACAGGCATAAATACAAATTAGAAAGGGCCATAAAGATATAAACAGGATACTGTGATAAGAATAGCCTTTGTGGGGAAGAAGAGAGAATGATAAACAGGATGATATGAAAAGCATTTTCTGAGGAGGTGACACTTGAGCTGGGACTTTGAGCTCCGCAAGGATCTAGCTGTTTGAAGAGATAAAGGAAACAGGTCTAGAGGAGGGATCCGCATACACAAAAGCCCCAAGTGTGAAGAACTTAAAGAGGGCTCATGTTATGGGAGCTCCATGAGTAGGGGAAGATGGGCTTGAGATGAGGCAGGAGAGGTGAGCAGGGCCCTTGTCCTGTCCTGTGTGGCCTCGTAAAGATGTACTTTTATTTCAAGATCAAAGGAAGGGTGCCTGGGTGGCTCAGTTGGTTAAGCGACTGCCTTCGGCTCAGGTCATGATCCTGGAGTCCTGGGATCAAGTCTTGCATCAGGCTCCCTGTTCAGCAGGGAGTCTGCTTCTCCCTCTGACCCTCCCCCCTCTCATGTGCTCTCTCTCTCTCTCTCATTCTCTCTCTCAAATAAATAAAATTAAAAAAAAAAAGAGCAAAGGAAGGTCCTTGAAGGCTTCTAAGACGGGGAGTGATATTATTGGACCTGATATTAAAAAAACAAAAACAAAAAACTCTAGCTTTTCTGTGGAAAGTGGATGGTGGGGGACAAAGGAATGAGGAGAGGAGTTAGGAGGCGGAGAAAGCTGGTGGTGACTTAAACTAGCATGGCAGCCATAAGCATGGAGCAAAGTGGATGGACTCAAGGCCTGAGTCGGAAGCAGAATCAACAAGATTCACTGAGGTGAAGGGGGACGGGGCTTGGGAGAGAGGGGAATAAAGGTGACTTATAGCTTTCAGGCACAAGTAACTGGGGATATGGTGAAGATGTGCACTTACCTGGGAAAGAATAAGAGAGGAAAGTTGTAGTGGATTGGTGAAGGCTGAGTCCAAATTGTGGAGAATGAAACAGTGAATGGAAGGAGTAGAAATGAGCATAGCCCATGTAGAAAAAAAATTGAGAAATCTGGTTATGGGGGCCCCTGGGTGGCTCAGTGGTTAAGCATTTGCCCTTGGCTCAGGTCATGATCCCAGGGTCTTGGGATCGAGCCCAGCATTGGGCTCCCTGCTTGGTGGGAAACCTGCTTCTCCCTCTCCCACTCCCCCTGCTTGTGTTCCCTCTCTGGCTGTGTCTCTCTGTCAAATAAATAAATAAAATCTTAAAAAAAGAAAGAAATCGCCTATGAAAGGGAGCAGAGAAATAATTTTGGAATTATATATGGGATCAAGTGAGAAGATTTTTTTTTTTTTTTGAACGAAAGATCTTGGAATATGCTTCTTTTGATGGGAAAGGTCCAGCTGAGAAGGAGGAATTGGTGATGCATAAGAGGATGGAAATAACAGAGACAGGGAAGGGCAAAGGAGTTAAGGGGATTTGCATGGAAGGGATCTTTTTTTTCTTGGAAGTGATTCTTGTAATGATGAATCATCAAATCTAAACTCTGGGCTGATCTTTGCTTTCTCTCTTACAGCTCCAGTCGCTGGGACACCTGGTAAGTACTCCACCCACATCCTCTCCCTCCCCCAGCTACGCTCTTCCTGTGCTCCCAGCACCCCGAGCACCCGGAGGTGCCCTGAATGCACCAGCAACCCAGTAGCTAGGTGGGGCCAGGAAGGAGATGCCCCGCCCTCTCTCCTTTCTCTTTCCCCTCCTCCCGGGGAAGCCGAGGATAGGCCTTCCTGGCGCACAGGTGCTTAACCCTTCTGGTTCTATCAGGATGAGAAATCACAGATATTGTCACAGAAAATAACTCATCCTCTCTCTCAGTAAAATCAAAAGCCCAGACATTTTTAGTCTCAGCTGCACGCAAAATCCCATCATGTGCTTAGGTTATCTCCCTGTGTTGGTAAATCCCCCACTTTGCATGTATCTGAGGGCTTCAGGGCCTGTTTCCCTGTTCAGAACTAGGAGGAGAGATCACTGACTGCAGCTTGGTGAAGTAAATTCTGCCGGGGACTTCTTTCTCTATACCAATCAGCTCCCCGCCTCCCAGGGCTCCCGGGGGAGGGGGGGCGGGGGGGCGGCTCTCCCTGGGGCACTGAAGCCAGGGCTCCCTAGACTGGCCCTCCAGCCTTTCTCTTTCTTTATCCTTCTGAGGCCACAGAGACTCCTCTGTACTTGGCTGTGAGGCTAGGTCTATTCTAAGGGACCAAGATTGACATCAGGTCAGAACAGAAACCTGATGTCTAACTCATGCTGGATACCTCCACCAGATGCCTTCATCCGGCTCTGGAGAGAGTTTATCCATTAGTATCCAAAATGCCTCAGTTTACAGGGGAACAAAATGAATTCTAGAAAGTTATGTATGTGGTGTGTGTGTGTGTGTGAGAGAGAGAGAGAGAGAGAGAAAGAAAGAAAGAAAGAAAGAAAGAAAGAAAGAAAGAAAGAAAGAAAGGAAAGAAAGAAAGAAAGAAAGAAAGAAAGAAAGAGGAAGGAAGGAAGGAAGGAAGGAAAGGAGAGGAAGGAAAGAAAGGAAGGAAGGGAAGGAAGAAAAAAGGAAAGAAAGAACTGTTTCAGATGACCCCTGGTGAGGTATACATATATTTCTAGTGTTTGCTTTGCCCCTTCTCCCTGTCTCTTACCTTGCCATCTCTTCCTGAGGAACCATCAAGCTCCCTGAGCAGACCTGGCTTCCTGGAGGCCCCTGTGGTAGGACACATGAGTAAGAGGAATTACCTACAGTTACATAAGAGTTCTGGGCCGGGTTCCACTCTTGATGTCCTCAGAAGGACCAGAGGTGCTTTACTATCTGAAATTCGGGGGCCTGCTTAGGCTCTTGGGGTCCCCTTTCCTCCTGCTTCCTCTTCTCTCTGCCCCTCAGCAGGTCTCCCGAAGGCTGTGCTGGACCTCCAGCCCCCGTGGGTCAATGTGCTCCAGGAGGATCCCGTGACCCTGAAGTGCCAGGGGGCCCACACCGCTGTGGCCCATGTCACCCAGTGGTTCCATAATGGGAGCTCCATCCCAACCCTGGTCCAGTCCAGTTACAGTTTTAAGGCCAGACAACAGGACAGCGGGGAGTACAGGTGCCAGACGGACCAGACCAGCCTCAGTGACCCTGTGCATCTGGACGTGACTTCCGGTCAGTGGAGGAAGGGGCTGGGGAGGGTCTGGGAGGACAAGGAAAGATGAAATCTGCTTACATGGCAGAGGTTTTTAGGGAAGGGAGGTAGCCTGTTTCCTGGGAATCAGTGCTGTGAGTTGTTGGAAGCTGTTTTCATCCACTCGCTTCCCTTTTCACCTGCCCCCTTTGCTTGGTGTGTGTGTGGTGGACCGTCTTAAGAAATTCCTCAGAATAGGTTGTTTTGCCTCAATCCTGATGGAGCAAGAAGGTTACAAGGCTACAAACAAGCACGTAGGGTATGAGAGAAGCAGAAAGAAATTCTGACTACATAAAAACCCATTTTTGTAGCCATCACAAAGCATAGACAGACCACAACTGAGTCTTCGGCCTGGACCCCACTAGCCGTGTGAACATGGTGATTTGTCTGCGCTTGGATTTGATTCCTTGTCTGCTCGTGGGGGTATTAATGCCTCCCTCCCCAGGTCCTGGTGGGAATCAGCATTTCCCTGCCCCCTTGCTCTCCATGCAACTTGACCTGGAAGTTGTCTTGATCTTTTTTTTTTTTTAATTAGAGAGAGAGGGAGGGAGGGGCAGAGGGAGAGAGAGAATCTCAAGCAGGCTCCACACCCAGCACAGAGCCCTACATGGGGCTCGATCTCACAACCCTGAGGTCATGACCTGAGCTGAAACTAAGAGTTGGATGCTTAACCGACTGAGCCACCCAGGCATCCCCTGAAAGTTGTGTTTTAACTATATTTGCATTTCCAGCCCCTGACAAGGGCAGGGCTTAATAAATGTTTGCTAAACAGATGAATGATTTTACAAAGCTTCTGGCAAAAAGTAGTTTCTCCATAAAGAAGAGCCACCCTGAGACTATGATGAATATTGTCACTGTTACTCTTCATGTAGTCCCTTTCCCTCCCCGGATGCCTAAATTTTCCTCAAAAGCACACAGCGGGCCTGTCGCCCCCACTCTCTTCGCACAACAGGAAGTGACAGGCCGGAGGGAAGCTCCTGAGGCCTGACATCGGTGTCCCTGCCCCTGCAGGAAGGCAAGGAGGGGAGGGCATCCCCCCCCACCGAGCCTGAGTGTGTCCCTGTGTCGCCACTGGGGTGTGGAGGAGCTGTGGGTGTTTATTGATTCTCTACAAGGCTTCCAGGAGATTGCAGGGGCGTTTCGCTCCCAGATGGATGGGAAGGCCCTTTGATTACTTGAAGAACATCTTATGAGTGCCACAAACAGGAAGCTGGCTCCTGCTCTCCAGATCTGCACCAAGATAAATGTCCTCAAGGAGAGCTAAGGTGGCCCCCTTGCACAGACCAGCCGAAGGCAGACACTCCTCATTATCCAGGTTATAACCTGGTGCCAGCAGAGACTCTTCGGGGAAGAAAAGCTATTCCAGCCATGTAGGTCTTCTGTGGTGGGGATTACCTCGACAGGGAAGAGAAGGGCAGGAATTGCTTGCTGGGGCTACATGGCAACTTGGGCATTTTCTCTGGGTTCTACTTTATTTTTTCAAAGCTTTACAATTCTCAGCATTCCCACCTGCCCTAATCCAATCTCATGAGAGAGGCAGTCTAGGGAACCAGGACGGCTCAGCCTCATCCCGGAGTGCAGTGTCCAGCCAGGGTCTCGGTTCTCCAAGAGGAGGAATATGCAGTACGGTAAGGCAAGGAAATGGGTGGAAGCTAGATGTGCCTCCCCAACAAGAGAGGTGGGGTTTTCTAGCTTGTGGCACCCGAGTAGCAAAACCTGGTGCCACCCTCTGGCCCTGGATTTCCCGCTGTAGCCGTGGCTGAATTTTCTCTGTGTTGTAATTGGTGCTGAGCATCTCCTCCTGCATCCGTGGTCACGTCACCAGCCAGTGCAGAGACTTGGTTGGCCTCATCCTGGTTGGCTGCCGGGGGTGCTTGCTGGGAACATGTGTGGCTGATTTATTTATTTGAGAGAGAGAGAGAGCATGAGTCAGGGATGGGGGCAGAGGGAGAGGAGAAGCAGGCCCCCCGCTGAGCAGGGAGCTGCACGGGGTCTCGATCCCAGGACCCCGAGATCATGACCTCAGCCGAAGGCAGATGCTTCACCGACTGTGCCACCCGGGTTCCCCCTTCTAATTCTGCTGTTGTCTTCTACCCTGCCTCTCTTTCCAATTCCAGCTCTGCTCCGTCCTCCAGCTTTAGGGAAAAGGAGCACGTGGGCTGAGGTCAGGAGTACAAATGTCTACCTTAGGCTTTATTCCCTATACAACAAAGATGCTAAATATTTTTTCTTCCTCAGTAAAAGGATGAACATTGGGAGGGAAAAAGGACACAGCAGGCTAATGACCCGCCTTCAGACCAAGGTGACGCTGTTGCTGTCAGACCAAGACCTTGAGGAAGTAAAACTCCACATTTACCAACATACATCCAATAAGCTAATACTTCTTGGACGTCCATGACTTCCTACTCTCCCAAAAGACATGTCTCTGCTGTGTCCCCTCACATGTCATCTCCTAGGTCAGACTGGATCTCTCCCCTCCCTCTCCCAAGGAAGGGACGGCACCATGGGCTCTCTTGTATCCTTTCTGTCCTGTTGGGCAGGACAGAGCTTCAGCTGCCTTCTCCCAGGGCAGGAAAGAGAAGACAAGCCTGTCCTGAACACCTACTATGTGCCAGGAACTGCTGTAGATGCATGGTATTGTTAGGTCCATTTCCACAGAGGCAGAATCCAAGGCCCAGAAGAGGCCCAAGACTACAGAGCTCCCAAATGACGGAGCCAGCATTAGAGACCAGGGCCATTGGATTCCAGGCTTAAGCTCCTCCCTCCACATACCGTGTCCCACCGGAAAGGACGGTCTCAGAGTTGGGTCAAGACCTCCTGGGTCCTAGGGTCCCTTTGTGTCTTTCAGACTGGTTGCTGCTCCAGACCCCTCGCTGGGGGTTCCAGGAGGGGGAGCCCATCGTGCTGAGGTGCCACAGCTGGAAGAACAGGAGTCTGTACAAGATCACGTTCTTCCAGGACGGGAAGTCCAAGCAGTTTTCTTCTCTGAATGCCACATTCTTCATCCCGGAAGCAAACCTCAGCCACAGTGGCAACTACCACTGCACGGGAATGATAGGGCAGATGCTGCGCTTCTCACAGCCTGTGGCCATCACTGTCCAAGGTGGGAACTCTGCCAAGATGGAGGGAGGATGATGACTAGGGGATGGGCAGTTATGGCTAAGGTCCTATGGGCCTCCTTGGAGCTGAGAAATGCCAGAGGGCAAACCCTTGGGCACTGAGGCGAAGCGGGGAGGAATGGGGGCCGTGAGAAATATTGGCTGTGGGCAGCAGGAGGGGCTAGAGCTTGGGGCCCTCCGCTTCAGGTCACAGGGGAAAGGCTGTGTGCCCTTTGAAATGCAGGCCCCGTCAGTCCTGAGGACAGTGATGGAGCAGAGCTCCCGCACTGGGGCAGGGGTTCCTTAAGCTCCCGGACGTTCCCAAGAGCTGAGGTTTTCTCACTTCTTCTTAGTTCTCATGTTATGCCCGTTCACTCCCCAAGCAAGGCATGACGGGTCCCTGACAGTTCAAGGCCTTGTGGGATCCAGTCGCGGTGCCTCCAGTTAGGGGAGGCTTCGGGTCCCCTTCCTTCTCTCCCCGAGCTCGGCCCCCACACACTCAATAGTGTGCCTTTATCGGATGAGCGGAGACACCTGTGAGGGGGGAGGCACGAGTCCAGCCGCAGTGCGGTCCGCGCAGGTGAGGTTGGGGGAGGACCTGGACAAGGGACAAGGGACAAGGGACCCGGACACAGAGCAGCTCCCGGGGAGCAGCACTGGGGTAGAGCGTGGGAGGTGGGAGGCTACTGCCTGTCCTGAGGTCTGTCTCCCCCAGGGTCCAGCTGGAGCGACTCCTCCGTGGTGATGACAGTTGGGGCTGTGGTTGCCGGAACCGCTGCGGTGGCCATCCTCGCCGCTGCCGTGGCCTGGTTCCGCCTCAGGCAAAAGCAAACTTCAGGTTCGTGGCTTCTCTGGGTTTCTCTTGCTGTCAGTTCCTACTTGGCCAAGGCCCTAACCCCGACCATCGCCAGGACCCTCCTCTTTGGGCCAAGAGAATCCTTACAGTTCAGAGGTAGCCCCATATTTTATTCATCCATTCATTCATTCATTCATTCATTTTTAAAAGATTTTATTTATTCACGAGAGACAGAGAGAGAGGCAGGCTCCCCACAGAGCAGGGAGCCCGGGATCACGACCGGAGCCGAAGGCAGACGCTTAACCGACTGAGCCGCCCAGGCACCGCCTTCATTCATTTACTCAACAAGGCTTGGAAAATCTTGCTTATGGGTGGAGCCCTGTGCTAGGCACTGTGGATGATGAGGAGTCCAGTCCCTGCTCTCAAGGAGCTCACGGTGCCGTGGGGAAGACAGAAGGACCAGTCAATCATTAGAATTAGGTGGGATGAAAGCCATGGTAGAGTCGCAAAGGCTGTGATGGGGGGAGCGGGGGACGCGGGCCCACGAGATGCAGCGTGGGGCGAGTGGTTAGAGACGCTTTCACAGGAGGCAGTGGTGTAGCTAGTGACCAAAGCACGCGTGGGGGGCCGGCCGCACGGTTTAACTCTCAGCTCCACAGCGCACCAGCTGTGTGACTTGGGGGAGTTCTTCAGTGTCTCTGTGCCTATATTTCTTCATCTGGAAAATGAGGACACTGATAGAACCTACCTCGCAGGATTGGGTGAGGATGAATGGGGCTGAGCGCTCATCCCAGGGCGGAGTACTTAGCACGTGAGAGAGAGCCGTTCTCATGAGGGGTAGAGGTCAGCCAGGCAGAGGGGGCTGGAAGAGCATTACAGGCGTGGGGGCCAAGGCATGGAAAGGAGGAACACTGTGGCTGGGCTGGGACAGGCGCTGGGGGAGGCGCGAGGAGGGGGCAGTAAGGGGTGCGAAGCGTTGAAACCATAAACTGCAAGGCACAGGGAGGAGGGAGGAGGGATGAGGCGGGACAGACAAATGGGTAAGGGCCACGTCATGCAGACCACAGAGGCCACATTAGAGAAGGAAACTGTGCTCCAGAGTGGGTGGCCAGACTACGGGAAGGAAGTCACCATAAGTGCTCATTCACTGCCCCCCACCTTGCCCCCGCGCCTAGCGCGGTTTGCCAGGCCGGGAGACGGTGTCCCTAAACGTCTGTTCACAGACGGGCGCCCTGAAGAACTTCGACTCTCGGAAAGCAGCTCCTTCCCCTTAGCACTATCCTGAAGGAGCTGAGAGAGGAGGCGAGGTGCCCTAGAAATCTAGTAAGCAAATTGTCACAGTTCGTCGCACTGGAGAGCTAGCTTGCTGGAGAAAAAGTCTAAAGACACCAGAGAAAGAAGAGGAAAGAAGACTGCCAAACACTGAGAAGGAGAAGGGACTACTCCTCATACCTCACGAGGCACTTTGGTACACAGCTAGGCCCTCAGTTACTGCCGATAAGTAAATACGGAGATGCACAGAGATTCTGAGAGGGAGGAAAAGGAGCTTTTTAAAAGGCAGAGCAAGCCTGAGAAAGATGCAGCCGAGTGGCCTTTCTGACAGCCCCAGGGGTTCCCATGGTTAACTCAGTGGCCCTTTTACAGGCTGGGCAGGCCCGGGGCAGGAGAGCCGGGGAATGGGGAGGAGGGGAGGCATCTCTGGGGGGACGGGTCTCTGTTGGTTCTAACCCAATCCTGCCCCTGGTCCTCGCCTGAGGACTCAGGCCCCACCCTATAGCCCTACTAACCTCCTCTGTGCCCCTCATAGCTCCCCTAGGAAACCCCAAGCACAGGGAAATGGGAGAGACCCTCCCTGAGGAACCAGGTGAGTGCAGCTCCCTGTTTTGGGGGCTCAAAGTGGATTGGAGCCTGCAGGAAGTGGCTTGCGTGAGTTCAGCTGGGAGCACAGCAGAGGGCGGGGGCGGTGGGAGGAGGGCAGGGGCTCAAATCGCTTGGTTGGTTCCGAGACTAACTCCTGGGCCTAAAGAGGACCTCACTGGGGATGAGGGGAAGAGGACCACCTGCTGCAGATAGAGAGGGGAGGGCTGTGTCTGAATTGGAGCCAGGAATGCTGGGAGCCTTTGCAGCGCAGGACATCAGAGACATTTGGGTCCTTCTGTGGGGTTTGGCAGAGCTGACACAGGACAGAGGCCAGGAGTGGTTAGACTGAGACACACGGGATTAAGAAAAGAGAGGGAGACCTAGGGAATGATCCCTGGACATGCTGAGGACTCTGTCTCGGGGAGTGATGGGGGAGGGGTGGGGCATTACGAGGACATCCGGGCTGGAGAAGGTTCTAGGGGACTGGGTGCATTAGTGGGCTTCACTGCTGGGCGAAGCTTGGCTCTGATGCCTGCGTGTGTAAGTTTCTTAAACACGGGCCTGGCCCCAGCTTTGTCACCAGTAGCCAGTGCAACCTTGCACGTTCCCTACCGTGGGGTGCAGTCACCTCCCTGAGGAAATGAGTGGATTGGCCTGATGACCTCAAAGCCCTTCCGGGTCTGACATTCTGGGAGCCAGTGACTGTCCAACCCTTGGCCCAGGTGGGAGCAGGAGTGTCCCAGGCGACCTCCTGACTGGCTAAGCCAGAGCACGAGGGAACCTGGAACTTTCTCGAGGGGCTCCTGGACAACAGAATCAGAGGAAAAAGAGGCCCTTGAGGACTCTGCGTCAGGTGGCTGGAGTGTGACTCAGAGCGGAACCAACAGATTCGAGAGCTTGAGCAAAATGGCACTTGTCCCGCTGTGCTTTGAGCAAGGCCCTTGTGTTCTTGGCCACGTCAAGCGGGGATGCGGGCCTGAGCCTGCACCAGGCCAGACCAGATCTAGAAAAAAGCCCAAACACAACTGGAACAGCCCCTTGGAGGTCTGGCTCTGTCTACCCCCTGGCACAAATACATTTCACAATCACTTATGTCACCGCTAGGCACAGGGGCTCACGGTTTCCCATCAGCGAGCATTGTTGAGAAATGCATTAGAAGGAGAATTCAGGAGGTGGTTTGTTCTAGAATCTGGAGCATGGCAAACAGAGACTCTCTGTGTGCAGGGGTGAGTGGAGACACTAGATGCATTGTCTCACCCCCCCCCCACCCCCCCACCCCCCCGCCTGAGGAATGCTGCTTTGCAGTTAGTGAGACTACTTTTCACACTGGCAAAGTGAGTTTATTGGCAAAAAACCTGCGGGAATTTGGTGTGTTTTAGCTAGGGAAAGTACTGGCTTGTTGGCTTGCTTCCCTCTTTCCCTCCCTCGCTTTCACTGTTGCTCTTTCTTACCTTTTAATGTCATGGAGCATTCTTCAAGGTGACCCCGAGGATGCGCTGTATCTGGCCAGTGCTGAAACGGCCCCCAGTCTTCTTTCCCTGAAGACCGTGCTTGGCAAAAATCTGGACTTGACTTCCCTGTGATACTGAACATCCCCACATCTCTTCCCCAGTATCTCCGATCCCTAAAGCTGGCTGGTTGGCTTCTAGAAAAAGTCAGCAATTCTCTGAAAAGCATGCAGCACAGATGAGGGCCTCCCTCTGCCCGTGTGGCCCGGAGGGGAGGCTGGGTTGGGGCGGTGAATGGAGCTCTGGGCCTACAGGGCCTTGTTTCATGTCTGGTTCAGGCCTTAGTTCTGCAGCCTCCGTGGCAGCGTGGTGGACCCTCTTCTACTGCCACGCCCTGGCTGATCTTAAAGTCTTTTAAGATTTTATTTATTTATTTAAGAAAGAGCGAGCATGAGTGGGGGCTGGGGGTGGGGGCAGAGGGAGAAGGAGAAGCAGACTCAGGGCTCGATTCCAGGACCCTGGGATCATGACCTGAGTGGAAGGCAGACGCTTAACTGACTGAGCCACCCTGGGCGCCCCTGATCTCTGTTCTTTCTGCCCACAGCCAATGTCACTGATACTGAAGAGGCTGCCAAAATTGAGGTGAGTCACCCCAGCCATCTCCTCCTTCCCCCTCCTCCTCTGTTGCCTTCATTCATGTGCTCCCTTCTGCATTCTCTAGGCCGAGAATACCATCACCTACTCACTTCTCTTGCATCCGGAGGAAGAGGCAGAGGCCTCCGATTACCAGAACCACATTTAGTCTCCGTTGTCTTGCCTGTGACCCAGGGAAGAGAATCAGAGAGGCCAGGACGCCTGACCTGAGTTCCCCTTAGGGAGGACAAGAGGATGCCGCAGTTCCAAAGAAGAAGAAGGATGCTTTCAGAGTCATCTACGTGAATCCTGAACCTCCCTGTCCTAAAAGTCACAGACAATGTGGTCCCAGATGACTGACTGTCCTGGTTCCTTCTGTGTCTCTCAGCACTTCTCGCCATTAAGACTCTTCTGCATACATCCACATGGCAGATAAAAATTACTTTTATTAAGAGATCGTAGCAACATGGGAAATGCTTATGTTATAGGTTACCTAAGAAAATTATGTAGGTATATATGATTTCAGGAATGTCAAAACAGACTAACATTTGCCAACATACTAAAAGTGATGTTTCAGGGTGATGGGATTATTGGTGATTTTCATCTTCTTTCTTCATTTTTCTACATAGACCATATATTACTTTTATAATAAAATACTAGAAAAAAAAGACTGTATTGGTTGGAGTGTGGACTGACTTGTTTCTTTTCAAGGATAAAAATCTTGGAAAGGTCGAAATGGGTAGGAGGTGGAGGAGAGGGAAGATTTGGCGTGTAGGGTGAGTGTCCTCTTCTTAAAACTGAATACTCTTCTTTAAAAATGGTCTTCTGGTTTCCATGTCTCCTTCCTTTTCCTCCCATGGCAAAGAAAACAATCACTTTGTTTTGCAACACCAGTTCTCAGGAAGCCAAGCTTTGGATGAGTCCTCATGGAGATTGCTGACTCTTCCTGCCCCTGCTATTCTCCTGTATTTACCAGAAGGATGTGGCCTTCTCAGGAAAGCCATCCTGGCATGTTAAAAACATGACTGACAGTTTCTCTGGGGGTTTGGTGGGCACCCTTGGGAGAGGCTTTGTTTTCCTGGGGCTCTCTCACGGCTTCATTGTACAGCATTCTTACATTCAGGATTTAGCCACTTCCTTTCTTGTATAGTTTTCATGGCTTTCTATGATAGTCACATTTTATTTTATTTTATTTTTTTGAGAGAGCAAGAGTGTGTGTGCATGTGAGTCGGGTAGGGGAGGGATGGAGGGAGAGGGAGAGAGACTCTTAGGCAGGCTCCATGCCCAGCGCGGAGCCTGATGCAGGGATTGATCTCAGGACCCTGAGATCATCATCTGAGCCAAAATGGAGTCGGATGCTCAACAGACTGAGTCACCCAGGTGGCTCATCCACCCCTATGATACATTGTATAGTCCCACAGTTAGATTTCATACTCACCTATTGTTATAATAAGGAAGGTGTAATGTGATTACTAGGTTATTGAGGGCTTACTTTATGCCAAACTATGTGCTTTAGAATTAGAGAGTTTCAGAGCATCAGCCTTCCATATTTCTTCTTTTGTGATTTTCCTATTCACAAATTCTTGCCCATTTTTATAGTAATAATGTATATCTATTTATAAATTACATGGTAGCAACTTATTTCCAAAAGGAAATAAAAATTTCTATGTAAATCATTTTACTACACTAATATTCTTTTTATAAAATTAAAATACAGATAAGCAAAAGAGATAATTAAGATCACCTATAAGCCTATAAACCACAATCGATGTTAACATAAAGGGTGCCAGTCTATGTTCCTTTCAGTAGCAATAGGTGCATGTATTTTAAAAATTGGGTCACATCATATTTTTACATGTTCATAAACACATATAGGCGGAAATTCATGCTCACTGTAAGCATGTAGCTCAAACACTACAGAAATACAAAGAAGTAAAAGTGAATGTTCCCTTTCACTGCACCCGGTCTTGTTCCTCTTTCTATGGGTAACTGCTGTTGAACATTTGGTGTGGATTTGGTTCTGGACTTTTTGGTATGCATCTAACACTTATTTATGTTTTTTTAAAGACCATAAGTGGGACTATACTTTACATATGTTTATGCAGTTGTTCTTTTGATTAGCAATATATTATGGAGCTCTTTCTATGGACCTGGTTTTCTTTTTAAGGATTACATAGTATCCCATAGTACAAATACTATACCATATTTTATTTAACCAGCACTTTAAGAGTTACCAATTGGTCAGTGTTGTACACATGCTGCAATAAATAACTTTTTTGGGTGCTATCTTTGACAGCACATGTGACTATTTCTGAAGAATAAATTCCTAAAGCCGAATCATTGGCTTAAAGGATACTCTCATATTGTCTCTAAAAAGCAGCTTACAGGGCGCCTGGGTGGCTCAGTTGGTTGAGCGACTGCCTTCGGCTCAGGTCATGATCCTGGAGTCCCGGGATCGAGTCCCGCATCGGGCTCCCTGCTTGGCGGGGAGTCTGCTTCTCCCTCTGACCCTCCTCCCTCTCATGTACTCTCTCTCTCTAATTCTCGCTCTCTCAAATAAATAAATAAATCTTTTAAAAAAAAAGATTAAGAGATGTATTTTGGGGGCGCCTGGGTGACTCTGTAGAGTATGTGACTCTTGATCTCGGGGTTGTAAATTCGAGCCCCACGTTGGGTGTAGAGATGACTTAAAAATGAAATCTTAAAGGGCGCCTGGGTGGCTCAGTTGGTTAAGCGACTGCCTTCGGCTCAGGTCATGATCCTGGAGTCCCGGGATCGAGTCCCGCGTCGGGCTCCCTGCTCAGCGGGGAGTCTGCTTCTCTCTCTGACCCTTCCCCCTCTCATGCTCTCTCTCTCTCTCTCATTCTCTCTCTCAAATAAATAAATAAAATCTTAAAAAAAAATAAAAAATAAAAATAAAAAATAAAAAGCAGCTTACATGTCCTCCCAAAGTATATTAGAGTGCCCATTTCCTGACACCCTTGTCAATGTTGGGCACTTTACATTTTTAATTTTTGCCAATCTGATTAGAATGGACTCTGTTACTGTTCCCTACCCAGCATGAGTTTCCCCTGGTTTTAGTAACAAAGACTGCTTTGCTTTGGCAAAACAGCTTTACTGCCCCTCTCAGTCCATGTGGGTAGGTGGGCAGACTTCGAACCTGATTCCAGAGGACAGCGTGCACCCAAGCTGGTCAAGCAGGTGCTGATTCCCTAGAATGTAAGTCTGGAACAGATTAGACCGTGACTGAAGGCGGTGAAGTTCATCCCAAATGACACTGCCTGGATGAGACCAACTTCCTACATCCTTAAATCCGCCCTGTTTCTTATAGTTTCTAATGTCTGTCAGCTTCCTCTTATAGTAGATAATTTAAGTTGATAGATTCCTCCTCTAATATCCTATGGGATTGATACCTTTTTTGGGATAGATCTTTGACAAACTTTTGTGTCCTGTCATTATTGGTCTCATCAGGCTTTTCTTTCTTTCTTTTTTTTTTTTAAAGATTTTATTTATTTATTTGACAGAGAGAGACACAGTGAGAGCAGGATCACAAGCAGGGGGAGAGGGAGAGGGAGAAACAGGCTTCCCGCGGAGCAGGGAGCCCGATGCGGGGCTCGATCCCAGGACCTTGGGATCATGACCTGAGCCGAAGGCAGACGCTTAACGACTGAGCCACCCAGGCGCCCCTCATCAGGCTTTTCTATCTCTTTTGGAATCAAGTTTGAAAAATCATCCATTTTACTGGAATGTAGCTGTACACTACATTTTTTCCTATTTTTTGGTAATCATTTATGTGTCTGTACTTACATTCCCCCCTCTCATACCTAGCTTTTGGGCTTTCTTCTATCAGTTAGATTATTTCAGCTGGAAATAACAGGAAAGCATGATTCAAATTGGCTTAAACAATAAGGAAATGTATTATCTCATATAACAAAAAGTCCAGAGACAGGATGTCTCCAGTACATCAAGACTCTGGGTCCAGTTTTCTGCAACTCTCTGGGCACTGCCCTTGGGCTAGCGGCAAGATGATTATAGCAGTTCTGAGCATCATACCCAAAAATCTAGAGAAAGAAAGGGACTAACTACATCTTCTATGTGTCTCTTTCTTAAGAGTGTTGAACCTTTCTCCAGAAATCTTGCCATATCATATTGGTCAGGACTAAGAAACATGCCCATTCCTAAATCGATCACTAGAAAGGGGAATCACCCACCACAACCTACCTAGCTTAATCATTCTGAGAGCAACCAACTTGAGCACTTTATCTGTTTATCTTAATCAAACTTGCCAAAGGTTTGTCTGTTTTATTAGTCCTGTCACAGATTTTGTTTTATTGATCAGGTCTTTACCTTCTGTTTCCTAATGCATTGTTTCTTCTACTTTATTTAGATTTACTGCATTACTCATTTATTTCTAAACTGTTTATAAACAAATTCACAAAGGCTATAACTTTTCCTCTTTTTGTTATTTTGGCTACATGCATTGGATTTTGATATGTCTTCCTGTCATTGTTACTTGTTTCTAAATAATCTATAACTTTAGTTTTACTTTCTTCTTTTTTTAGATTCTATTTATTTATTTATTTATTTATTTATTTATTTATTTATTTGAGAGAGAGTGCAAGCGTGAGAGCATGAGTCAGGGGAGTAGAGGGGGAGGGAGAAGCAGACTCCCTGCTGAGCATGGAGCTGATCCCAGGACCCCAAGATCATGACCCTAGCCAAAGGCAGATGCTCAACTGACTGAGCTACCCAGGTGCCCCTAGTTTTACTTTCTTCTTAAGTTTGATATAGAAGGCTGTTGTATTTTCTTGGTTCATTTTATTTCCAAGAAGAATAAGCATTATCTTCTTTGTTGTTATTTTCTACTTTCATTGCATGGTGATGTGGTCTATGTGATTTTTCTGCATTAAATGTTTTTAAATGTATATGTGAAGATAGTGCTTTCTTTCATTTTTAAACATTTTTAAAAATTTTCTGTTAGAGTAACACACACACAATTTGAATTATGTAGTAGAACATAAGGCATATGATAAGAAATAGCTGGTTTTTGACCCTTTCCTTGCATCCCCTCTGTCCTGTTCCCCAGAGGCAATGCTCTTCAACAATTTTAACTATGTCTTCTGTTAATTTACCACCATATTTCCAATGATATAATCTGCTGCTATCTCTTGATTTTTCAATATTAAATATTATCCATTTGATTTCCCACCATAGAATATGAAGACTACTCTTATTATACCATCGTTACACACTTCTCACTTTCCTTACCCACTGCTCCAATGCAGCTTTACCATGATTTTATGACTGCTGTTCATTACTGAGACACACAGTGTTCTCTGATTACACTTCCTTTTCTGAACAATCTTTTCCTCTCTAGAGATAATAACTGCTTCATTTTTGTCATTTGGTTAGTTGTCTATGTATCTATTTTTAGCTTTTCCCCAATTTTTCAAAAACATTGTGAAACAACTTAATACTATTTCCCACTTGGTTAGTTGTCTATGTATCTATTATTAGCTTTTCCCCAATTTTTCAAAAACATTGTGAAACAACTTAATACTATTTCCCACGTGGTCAAATGTACCAGGAAATTTTTCAGTTTCTCTTTCTTTCTTTCTACCACCCCCCCACCCCCACCCCCCCGCCCACACACACACCTTTTTTTTCATCAGCAAAAAGTCTCTGCTGGAATTCTCTGTT